CATTGGTCTTTGCCAGCAGCCACCACTCAAGCACAGAACGTCCCGCGATCAATTCGCTGAGAGACCTGATTGCCAGTCAAGGGCAGCACAACAGGTTTTTGAAACAACTGAGCTTTTAACCAACATCCCTTTTGCGCTTGTTCCTTGCTTGGGAGGTCCTCCAGTCAGTGTTCTCCTTTTGGCACAACTGACCCAATTGATCGAATCGAGCTGCGCCAGCTCAGTATTATGCATCAAATATGATACCGACAGAATATATAGGTAACGTTTTGAAATACCGATACTAGTACACTATGTCATATGAATGATCTTCGGTAAACTATAATGACATTAATCATTTACTATGCCATCAACAATCATGGTTCTGACTTAGACAAGCCCGGGTCACGAGATCGGTTGATGCACAGTAACCACAATCTACGCATCGCACTCCACCCTGCCCATCTACAAGTGTGTTGAGATCTGGGTCGCTCAAAGCCTGACTTTTCTGAGACCATTGAGATGATGGAGCCACGATCTATCTTGGGACTTTTTGTGTTGTCTCGTCTTGCCGGGGAACGGCTGGCATTGATCGACTGATCTCGAGCCTGACGTAGTTCACGAGTTGTAGGGTGCATTGTGCAGGCAAATATCGCCCCTTGCCCTCTTTCCAACAATCATGAATGTGCGCAGGCCCCTTCCAAGAGGAAACCAGCCTTCCAAATTGGGGTTTGTGCACTTCCATGTTTGTTGGTGGGAGGGTAGTGCTGCCCCAGGAAGCCAGCTAAGGCTTCCAAATCCTGCAGAAGTGATGTCCACCGCGGGGCTCAACATCACTCAGACGGCTGCAGCCTGAGTTTTAGGGAGGACATTGGGGGGGACACCCAAAGTCACCACAAAAACAGGGGCCTACCCGATGTTTGAAAGTCCTGCGTATATAACTAGAAGAGTAGCTTTGCCGGGGGCTGACATGGCTTTTTGGAGGATGTGTCGAGCATAATTCATAACCTCACAGCTTGCGGCGGCAGCTTGAAGACACGGGTGGACTACGCGGGGGAGCTTGGGCGGTTTATTCCAACAGCCGTCGGCATTGTCTGTCCTTTCAATCCAGCTAGGGTTTTCTCCCCACAAACCACCCAGTTTGCGTGGCACGAGCTTGACCATTTTGCAGGTTGGGTTCTTTTTCTCCGGCAGTCACGGAAATGAGGGATCGGGCGGATGGCATGCGGATTTGAGCCGCTTGCTGTGGGCACTGTGCTTAGGGCAGGGACACTGCCGATGATTGGAATAAAGGGCAATCTCTCGGACGTAAGGCATTCCCCGACCGAAGGCCAGATTTCCTAGAGGCGCTGTAACCCAACCCTTTGATGTTAACATTCAATCCACTTTCGAAAGTTGACGCGGATTGCCACTACTTGCCAGGTGCGGGTCTGTTTAGTTTCGCTGGTCCCTGTTGTGTGGTGACAGGGTCCATCAGGTACATACATGTATATATATATATACACATACATACATATAATACTGTGTGTTGTATACATGGTTTTATTTTTTCCGTTGCATCCTATGCATGATTGGAATTACCCGAAATCCTCAATTTGGAGAAGGAGGGCTACCGTCTTCTTCCCAACAATAAAGGTCTCCCTATCCAGAATAGCCAATTTGAAGCCACTACTAAAGCAGTGATTTGCCCTGCCATCCCAACTCCAGCCGTATCCGGGGTGCCAAGAAAACCACCCATGCTTTTTTCCGACGCATGTTCCATACCGCTGCTTAAATTCCATTGCTTAAAAATCGTATCTTGTATTTGCTTACTCGCCTCAGTTGAAACAGAAACAGAAGAGCAGCCTGGACTTTTTTTGGTGCTGCACAAGGAGAAGTACTTTGTGATAGAACCAACGGTAGTTTTCGTAATCATGAATCGCCGGAACCCAGGGGTGCCTAATAATGGATAATAGAAATGTGATTTCTAAGAGAACGGGTTTTGATTCGGGAGAGGCCTCCATTTTTAGGGGGAAGGGATGGGTTTCGTAGGCGATGGGTTTCACTAACTAGGGGTGCTGCCATTGATCCTGTCAAAGAAAACAATCCCTGCGATTGTTCACTTGACATTCCTTGCAACCTGATCCGTTGGGACCCATGAAACCATGGACGCTCGGGATTTCCAGAACATTTTGCAGGGAACCACCCACGAGCTAATGGGAATCTGTTGCAGCCAGAGGAGGAGCGGGAGGGCGTGGAGCAGATGTTCGAGGTTCCTCTGGGGCCTTTGTCCTTGACCTGGGGCACTGCTTGGGAGGTGGGACGGGGAGGGGATGGGGGGAGCTGGAAGTGTTCGCTTTTGTGCGCTTAGGGTTCTTGACTTGTGGAATGCTTCACTTCGGCTTGTCCGGCGCAGTGGGTTTTTTACCAGTGGGGGGACCCCTAAAAATGGGATTTCGGCTTTCCTTTTGATTTTCCTCGAAGCAACCTCAGCAATCATCTCAAAGGCCTGACTCAACCCCCATAGATCAAGAAAGGACCTAAGGGCCTATTGGGATGGAGATGTGCCCAAGGGCCAGTAGCAAGGACCCAAGGCCGATTGACGTCTTGGTTCTACCAAGGCTTTTCACAATGCATATGGGTTTGTGTTTGTGTGTGTGTGGTTTTGTGTTTGTCCGTGTGTTTGCCCTTGTGGTGTTTGTTTTGAGGGTACCCTAGTCTTTGTCCAAAGCGAATCAACCGGATCTGACCTTTTGGGATTCCCTTTTTGGTCCACTTTTAGTCGAGGTTTTAGAGGCTGGTATTTGCAGGTTCTGGCAACTGAGACTATGATTGGTTTCGGAGTACGTGGGGGGTCCCACCCAAATTTCCTTCAAAGCCAACCGAGGGCCAAATTTTCGCATGTCTTCAATCTGCAATCCCCCGCGGAAATTTGGGATGTCTTTTCTTCAGGGTACCCTGCTTGAGGTGGGTGTAAAGGGAAACCAAAAGGAAACCACCCGTTTGGGTCCACCATTTTGAGGCCGAGCCATAGGACTGTCCAAATTGGAGGGCTGAGTCCCCTGCGAGTGTCATCACAGCTCCCGGAACGGCAGCGGGTTGGCCACCCGCTGCCCGCTTCGGTTTCTTCAGGTCTTGGACCTCAACTTCTTCACCTCCGAGCCCTTGGTGCATTTCTCGAAGCGGGCCGGCGGGGTGGGGGGGGGGAGAAGCGCTCGAATCTCAGCCACTGAAAGCCGGCGCCTTTGAGAGGACACGTCAAAAACCCTGAAAAAAGGGGTGGGGAAGGGTTTTGCAAGGTTGAACAGATGGTGAAACGCTCGACAGGGTGCCGCATGTTTCGCTTTGTAGCGCTTGGGCGGAAGGGGTGATTGCCCTGCCAGATGGGCAGACAGACCCTCGAGGGTGTTCCTTCAGCCAAATGGTCAAGCCTTACACATTTTGAGACCTGGGATGGGAATCCTTGCGAACCCGAAAACAATATCGACCCCGGATTATGCAACCAGTCGCATGGATGAGGGCAGGGTTGCCCCCCAAAGTGAATGCTCCCCTCTAAACTGGGACACCCCCCTATTGACGTGAGTTGATCCTAGAGTTCAAATGAACTCTTCAGACACAGTGTGCGCATTCCTGATTTTGTCGTATCCGTTCTCACGGCTTTTCCGACCTCTTCAGGCTCAGAAATGCCGTCAGAAAAAATGAAACGGACATGCCTTTGACACAACCCAGGTCGGGGGGGAAGGGGGAATTTTCCCCCACGTTCTGGCGGCACACCGGGTGAGTCTGTGTGCGTGTGTGTGTGATTTTTGCCCTCCCTCTTACCGCACAAAGGCTATCGCACCATGGACTGCAGCCTGGCCAAGACTCAAGAGAAACGCCAATCTTCAAGGCATTTCGCTAGTAGGAAACCAGGGGTTTCCCCATGATGTAAAACCTAGAGGTCGTACTACAGTGGCGAAACGCCTGGAAGCACTGGGTTTGGCTAGCTGTGCGGTTGCGCGACGTCGCTGCAACTATATGATGGCCGCAGTCCAGTGGATTGCCGTAGTGTTTAAGTCTCATGGCCTACTTGGCAGGCCCGTCGTATACTGACCGTTGCAGCATGCCATGCATTCCCCGCGAGGTAGAGGGAACGCTGGGCCACTACAGGACCGGGAATGCGGGAAGGGAGGGCATGGAAATCTCACTCCGGCGCTCGTGCAGACAAGGGATTTCAGAGATTGTTGGGGATCGCCGAGCAAAGCTTGACAAACTGCCAACACTGCAGAAGCATGATTGGGGTATGGGCCATATGGGTCAAAATCAAACCTTCGCGGAACCGCTGGTTTGGTTTCCATTTGCCGATTTTGGAGCTTCGCTCCCAGGTACAATTGGGGCGACCACCTGATCCGGGCCTACCAGGCTTGGCCCAATGAGCGTTGGAAGCTTTTCCCATGGATCCCAGCCTGGAACCTTCGTTTCAATTGTTGTTTTTCTACGGGAAGAAGATATGCAAAATGCAAAGACGAGGAAGAGCACAAGCAAGAAGAAGGAGAAGGAGAAGGATGAGGGGTTCAATTCCCAACCACCTCTGGACAAGCCTCCTTTGTTTGGGATATTTTGTGTTTCTGCTCAGCACTAGCCTTGACTTGGGGTTCATCTCCAAAGCGAGCGCAGAGAGGTCCAGCTCTTCGCACCCCTGAGCCGGGTGCGGTGCTTCGACGCCGCGGAGTTGCCTGGCAGGCCGGGGGAGGCGTCAGTGGCGGAGTCGGGAAACATGGGATTGAAGAAGGTGCCCCGGGTTTCCTGGCTGGTTGGTTGGTGGGTTGGTTGGATGGTACCAGTACCGTCACACGTCCACGTTTAGATGGCTTTAAACATCACTTTTGAAAAGAGTTCGGCCAATAATTAGTGAGGTAGTACATATGCCGTAAGGAACCATTTGCAGCAGATTCATTGGGAGAGTTGCCCGCTGGCTCCGTTTGCCAGCCCATCAGCCGTGTCTAAGAATTCTACGACTTGCTGAACCTTTTCGACTACAAGCGGACTGTTAAAATCCGGCCACGAAATCGGGCTTCACGCTTTGGGCACTTGGCCTGCCAGTCACGGCTGCTCTTCCTCCGGGCAGTTTGAGAGAGAGGCTGGGCCTTGGCGCCTTGGGGCCGGAAGAAGTCTCAGGTTCGGTGAGACAATTGTCTGTCCATTCGGGAGATTTGGACATGGAACTCCTCAACTTCCTGCAAAAACCAGGGGACTCACTAGCTTTCCCGTGTCCTTTACCAGAAGCAAGCAGTTTGGACCGCGGCTCAACTGCATCGCGTTTGCAGGAGAAAGGCTGGGAGAACATCTACAGCATGTTGGACAACATCTCTTGTGCCTTGCCTAGGGCAGGCTCGTTCCAGAGGATGCATTATCAACAACCCTTCGTCCGTAACTTTTTTGGGTGCACGTTTTCAAAATGCTTCAACAAGAGTTGTAGGTCTTCGCGGTAGATCTATCTTCAAAACGGTTGGGCCAAGAAATCCGAGAGACGGCGGCTTTGTGTTTGACAAATCGAAGTCCAGGTTCTTGTTACCTTGATTAGGCGGCCACAACCTTCCGACCTTGGTGCAGAGTGGCTAATTGCTGGATCGATGTTTAGCAACCTGCAGCCTATCTTCTAGAGGTGTACTTGATTGTTTGTTTGTGTGTTTGTTTGTTTGTTTGTTTGTTTGTTTGTTTGTTTGTTTGTTTGTTTGTTTGTTTGTTTGTTTGTCTGTCTGTTTGTTTGTTTGTCTGTGTGGTTGTTTATTTGCTTGTTAGTGTTTGGTCCATTGGCTCAAACAGTGTACCACAACTTGTCATTTCCTCAAGAGGGACACTGTGACACGGTCATATGGCTGTGGGTCAAAATCAAACAGGAGGGGGTACGCAGGTTTTGGTCCATGTTCCACTTACCAGGGTTCCATTTTACCGTTGTTTTGAGCCACGGCCATATGGCTGGTATTTCTGTTTCCGGCCTTTTTCTCGCCGCTTCTGAACTTCTGGCCCAGGCCCGCACCTTTGGCTTGGGCAGGGCTTGAGAGGCGAGGTTTGGCCCAGTCGGCCGGAGCCAACTCCCCTGCCCCGCCCCACACCTGGAAAACTGGCCTTATAAATGCCCAGGGGGGTAGGGGGCCCTCAACTTACTTTGGATGGACAAAAATCACGTCGCACCAGGTGGTGGTTTATGCCATCACAACTACAGGAGTTGGTCTATCCACATGGCAAGGGTTCGGTGGATTCAGAAATCCGTGGCCCCACTTTGGGGCTTGGATCTTCTTAGCTTGTTTGGATTGAGATGACATCATAGCACAGACTCGAATCCATGAATCCCATGCTTATGCATTCGAGTTTTGGTCATTGGTATTTGACAACACCGGGCATTCCGGGACCATTCAGGCTTCCAAACTTTGAGGGCAGTATGGAGGTTGCGGGAATGACACGGTCGGCGTTTCTGTTCATTCGTCAGTCACCTCTTGCCATGGCTTTTTGGGCTTGTGCAGTGAATGGGATTGAGCGCAAACCTTGTAGCTGACACACCCCTAACATCCAAAGGCTCCAGGAATTGGACATAGCGGGACTCACTCACTAAATTTCTCACACACACACACAACCCGTAACTCTCTAGTTTTTTCTATTTCCAGGGGGAGACAAAGCTCACAACAGAGAGAATGGGGGTGGTCTTTGATCCAGTCTAACCAGAAACCCGGTGGATGATTGAAGTGCACTCGACGACATGAAGATAAGATGCACGACAAGTCCTAAGTGAAGGATCGCCGGCACTGTGAGGCATTTTGGCCCTAGCTTTCGGCGAAGCGGTGCGTGTTGCGCGGATGGCGGGTGCGGGGATGGCGGAGTCAGACTTTGACCATGCAGCGCTGCAGGGCTTCAAGACCATCATCGAGCCCTTTCGCATCCACAGCACCCAGCGCATTCCGTTTCCCACGCGGGAACAGAGGCTTCAGGCGGATAATGAAGGACAACAAACAAGAGAAACCCCTCTTAAAAAGTCCTCCGTCTTCTGGGGCCCCCATGCAGGTTCTCTATGCTTGTTTTTAAAAGACGTTGACGAATGAGACAGGGGACCAAACCAAGGTGAAATGGTGATGTTTTGTTCGGCACGGTTTTCACAGAGATCTTGACGCTAGATTTTCAAGTGGAGAAGCCCGGCTTCCTATTCAAATGTGGCATCACACATTCACCAAACAGAACCTTTGGGAAGGGCCAAATGATTTGGTATCTTTTGAGTCTTTTGAGCCTCAGTGATCTTTTTGGTACACATGGACTTGTCTCGAGAAAACCTGAAAACCGGCGGGTTCCTTTGGTCCTGTTCTTTTCAAAGCTTAAAATTAAGGGTACACCCACAAAGACGCACCCACATCCTTTTGGTTGTGCATCAAGTGTAATCCTTTTGTTGGACCCTTGCTCCCCCTTCAAAAATAATGTCAAGATAGGAACAGCCTCACAGACCTCCAGTACCACATTTCCTTTATCTGGTTTTTTCAGCGAAATCAATTCTCCCACAAGGGTGCCCCCTGTTTAGCATGGACATCTACCACTTCTGGGGGCCATTATTTTGACTGCTTCTGGGGGGTATCAAAGTCAGAACTGGGGGGTGTTTCCCTTTAGCCTATTTGAGGCCAATTTTGAATGTAAAAAGTGAGGCCAGTCCGAGCCTCAAATGGGTCAGCCGCTCAGCCCATCACAGGCCATCCAGCGAGCTGGCTGGAACCTCTTCGGATTGCGGAGTGAGGATGTGATTATCGACATGCTCACCGACAGCGGCACAGGTCGGATTGGATCGTTGCATTCGTGGAAGCAAACCAAAGCTGGAGCACTGAAAAAGCAACTTGCGATTTTTTGGTATAGTTGGAGCTGTCTTTTTTGGTGACTTTCAAGGGACACCAAAAGGAGAATGCGCAAATTTTCGGGGACCCCAACAAAAGCTGACTCTCGGGTTCTTCAAAATGGACTTGGTTTCGCTCGGGTTTTGGGGAGCAAGTGGTTTTGACTCGAAGCCGCAGTCCCGGAGGCGCCATGAGCGCACGGCAGTGGGCCGGCATGATGGTGGGGGACGAGACTTATGCTGGTTCCAGGCCGAAGCCAAAGTGGTTTGAGGGCAAGACGTGCGGGTGTGTCTCAGAATAGGGTGTGGTTTTCCTATTGGTTTCCCTTCAAGCATCCCCCCCCCAGCAAAAAAGAAGAAGGTATCCCGGAGCCCGGGCACCGGCCACGAGCGCCTGTAGTAGATCGATCGACCATCGAAATTGGAGAGCGTAGGTCGTACTATGCCTTCCGGGACGCCGTGCGGGAGATCACAGGCTTTCAGGCGGCTTGGGGGACAAACGACGTCACCCAGGGCACCCCCAACCAGCTTGAAAGATCCAGTATCTTGCACACCCAAATGGCGGTGAACTACCGTACACGTTTTGAGGTTGTCTTTTTCGAGGCGACCTTGGTTGGCTTCCAAAAGAAATCACTCTATGAGACAAACCCATTGCTTCTATGTTCCATTCACAAAGGGGAAGCCTCCTGAAAGAAGAGCAACACACCTGACCGAGATGATAATCGGAGGTTGATTAATCAGGGGTCAACATCAACATTTAAACAGGCGCACCAACAAGGTTCTATTTGTTGGTTAAGCCCAACAACCCTCTTTGCAACAATCATGGAAGTGGACAGGCGGCGTGCCCAAGAGGAAAGTAGTCTTCCAAAACCCTCCCGTCAGCTTCCATGGTTGTTGGCGGGAAGGCACCGCTAAAACGGAAATTCTGGGGTTTAGTGGCACCCAAATGGGTATGTCTTTTTTGAGGGTACCCCTTGTTTGGTTTTAAAGGGAAGCTCCCGCTGCACATGGCGTCGCACCCTAGGAGGTGATTCCGACGCACCAGGGCCGGGCAGCAGAGCGGATCCTCTTCAGCATCCTTGGCGCGCCAGGCGAAATCGAATCCGAAAAGGGCAACGGACGGCCGATCCACGGATGTCATCCAAAGAAGCCGGATAACTAATACTCATGCCTAAATCATTCTAATGGAGTGTAGCAACAGACCAAAGTAAGTCATAATCATGGCAGCAATTCGTCAATCCTTATGTAGCCTGTCAGCTTATACTGTTTCCCTTGGCGAGCCAGAGAAAAAAGTTTTTGTTGGCAACTGTTCATGGGGTGGCCCAACACCGTGAGAGTTGGACATAGATTCGCACTGACATGCACAGTGTCTCTTCAAGCTTGAAGCCAAGTTCTGGTGGAAGCTTTTCCCTATGGTTAAGCGTTCTTTTAGTAGTGATTCAGCATGTAATGGTGTACGGCTGGGTATGGGTAAGTTCTGGCTGCTCCTTTGGCCCCAGTTGGCTGCGTCTGTTTGATGCCCATTTGGGGTTCGTTCAAAGGGAAAGCAAAGGACTGCCAGACATGTTTCCCCTATCTTAAGACACCCACTGAACATGTGGTGTAGAGTGTGGTTTTGTGTTTCTTCTGAACGGCAAAGCCGTGGCAGCCAACAGTGACCTTTTATGGCCATTCGCCGCCATAAAAGGCCACCTTCCCAGAGCTAGCACTTGCTATGGGGTCCATTGTCCCCTGGCAGGCAAGGTGGTGCCCAGTAACACCCACTTCGACACCACCCGTGCCAATGTGGAGTACAGTGGAGCTAAGGCGGTGGATTTGGTGATTGCAGAGGGCAAGATCCCGTCCAGCACGCACCCCTTCAAGGGCAACATGGATATAGCAGCTCGGACTTCCGCTTTGCTACCCTCCCATCCACAAACATGGAACCTCACCAGTACCGAGCTATGTTTTTAATCTTTGGGGAAGTCACAATCTGTGAAATCTTTTGGCGTGTCCAAGGCAGCACTGGAGGCCTGCATTTGCGAGGCCGGTGCTGAGAATGTGCCTGTAGTAATGCTCACCGTGACCAACAACAGCGGAGGTGGGCAGCCGGTGTCACTGGAGAACATCCGCGCAGTGCGCGCGGTGTGCGACAAGTATCGGGTGCCCTTCTTTCTTGATGCATGCCGCTTTGCTGAAAACACTTGGTTTATGAAGACCCGGGAGCCCGAGTGCGCGCACATGAGTCCGATGGAAATTGCCAACGCAATGTTTGCTCTTGCGGACGGATGCACCATGTCTGCGAAGAAGGACGGCATGGCCAACATCGGGGGATTTCTGGCGATGAAGGACTCGGAACTTGCAGCCAGGTGTCGAGACCTTCTGATCTTGACGGAAGGTTTCCCCACCTACGGGGGGTTGGCTGGCTATGACATGGAGGCCATCGCCATAGGCCTGAAGGAGGCACTGGACCCGTTGTATTTGAGCTACCGAGCTCGATCCACAGCCTACCTGGGAGACAAGGCAGGCCTTGTCAAACCCCTCGACATCGCCCGATTCCTGTTGCTTGCATAGGGTCCCCCCGAAAGATACATGCAAAAAGCAGCCTGATTCACAGGATCCTCCAAGTGTGCTGGTCAATGTGGTTTTCAATATGGCCAAAATGTGGTTTTCAATGGGGTTCCCCAAAAGCCACCTGATTGGGTGGTTCGTCTCTTTTTAGTGGACCTCTATATTTTGGTGGCGTTCCGATTTCCTTTGCGTGTCTTTTTGAAACCACCAACCACTTGGGTTTACCGAGCGCCTCAAAATGGAAACAGCCATTTGGTCGCCACGAATCCCGATATCCCGGTGCGCTCTCCGCGCGATGTCGCGCGAGAGAGAGGCGGAGGCTGCGGGCGTGCCCATCGTGAAGCCCGTGGGAGGCCACGCGGTGTACCTGGACGCCGCCGCGCTGCTGCCCCAAATTGCGCGCTCAGAGTTCCCGGCCCAGGCGACTGGACGGCGTTGGGGGCCCCGCTTGGGGGAAAGACGAAGCCATGTTGGGGGGTCCGTCCTGAATCTCCGAAATTGGTTGGTTTGAAGGTGCCCTCAAAAACAGAAACACTCACGGGCACACAGATACACAAACACACACAGACACACAGACCCACAGACACAAGAAAGACAAGAGAGGGTTTTGGGGCTTGGGAGCCCTGAAACCGTTGACCATCAAACGTTTGCCCTGGTTTTAGGTTGCCACTGTGATACCAAGGGACTTGCAATCAAGGGCATGGCCCAGGCCCTGGCTGTGGCTCTGTACGTGGAAGGCCTGTGGGCGAGTTGCCGGACGTAGGTTTTCACCCGGGCTGAATCAACACTCCTTTTGGTTGCCAAGGCCAATGTTTTAGGTGAGATTTCTACTTACTACTTTCCTGTTCAGTTTCGAAACCAGTTCTTTTTCTTGCCAGGTTTCTGCATAGCCTGGCCTGCACAGTTCAAGGTTTTTCGCCGGTCAAACTCAGGTCTCAGACTATGATTCCCCAAAGATTGCCTTCACACACCTCCTAGGATAAATATTAGGTGGGGTTTCTTCTGGTGGGGTGGGTGCAAGAGGCATGCTCGAAGCCATGATAGGCGTCCATCCAAAATTGCCGCTGCAGAAAATTGCATGGACGACCCATCATGCACACAACCACTGCTGAAGCTCCGCCTGGCATTCGCCCTCCCAGTCCCTCCTTGCATTTTCAGTTTCGGCTAAAGTTTGACTCTCTTTCCTTTGCATAGCCGCCCAGCTTCCTGCTACAGCGAATGCCACCTTCCAGGCGGCGTGCGGGGCGTCGAGATCGGGTCGCTTATGTTCGGAGACGCAGCTAGCATGGAGCTGGTTCGCCTGGCCATTCCGAGACGGACGTACACCCAGAGTCACGTGGACTACGTGGGGGAAGTGATAGACGCTTCCCCACACCAAGCTTTCAACACAGCAACTGTATAAAAGAGGAATAAAGGAAACAACCTGCAGTCATGGAGGTTATGTAGAACCTGACTTAGTTCGCACCTTTCCAAATATCTCGGGGCCCATGTGGCGGAGTCCTTCAGGGCTACATAGACCTGAGGGCTACGAAAACCTGCTGGCTACAACTCCGGAATCATTGGGAGCCCAGATTTCAATCAAAAAACCATCCAACTCACCTGAACAGAATTGCTGCTGTTGATTCTGGCCGACATACTGTGTTTTTGTTTCCCCGCCACTTGATGGAAGTTCTCATGAAGGCAATCTAGCAAGATAGAGATGTCCTGTGGGACATTGCTTTGCCTTCGTTTCAGGAGGGGATTTGCCGACAAAAAACGGGGGGGTCCAACCTTTTAAAAGACGAGCCACCCATGTTCTTCACTTCAAGGCCATTCCAGCTCAGGGACCTTGTCGAAGCAACGAGAATCGGAAGCGAACTCGGCTGAACTTGCACTTAGATGGTCTGATTAGCCAATCCCTGGTTTGCAGGGGATACAAACTAACCCCCGGATGTAGGAAATTCCCATCCCTTGGTTTCAGGATGTTTCTGGTAAGGTCACTGCAGACGTGGGGGCCAAATGTTTTCTACATTGAGCTTGATTGTACTCGCAAACCCCTCCGATGAACTACTGGGCTCCGCTTCGCAACGGTGGAGATGGATGACACCCTAGACTGGGAACAACCACCTGCCAACTGGAGCAAAGTGATTTGTGTCCATCCACAGAATCCAGTCAGGTTTCACAGTCCCCCACAAGCCCATCCTCCATCCGAATGATTTGGGTGGGATTTGTTTTTTGTTTATTCGTGCCCCCTTGTTTCTGGTTTTGACGAGAAGCCAAAAGGAACACCGAAGCCATTTCTGGGGGTCCTCTATCACCCCCCCCGCATTCCAATTGTAGAACTGCCTGTGTTTTTAGGGGATCTCCCCCCAAAAGCTGGTGTTCGCCTTTTAAACCAACAAAAAGACGGCTCAGACGCTGCGCCCATGGCGTCTCAGGAGCGGGTGGCCGCGAAGGCCCGGAACGCGGAGCTCTGCGGGTACCGAATCGTAGAGCAGCCGTCCTGGCTGCGGCACTTCACCGCCAGGTTGGAGCCCACATCACCGGTCTGCTAGGACACGAGAGAGACTCCTAGAGGCACCCAGGTCCCAACAACTGTTTTTTGGACGGGGAGTTTGCGCTGGGGAAAAGCAGGCGGGTGGTAAACACTTTGCTTGAGAAAGGGGCCTTTTGGAGATCTTAGTCAATGCTTGAGATCCAGATCCAGGGGAGCCAAGGGAGAGCCCAATGATGGGCAGAGAGGTGGACCGTCAGCGGGTGGCAAGGAGAATCGATGTACAGATCGCAAGGCCTGAGATGAAAGGCGCAAAGTGTTTGAAGAGCACATGAGTGGGCAGCAAAATCCAGAAGGACAGAGTCGACCTTTGGGCACACTTTGGGCATCCCATTCAGTGCCTTACGCTTTGGCATGTGGTTAAACGCAATAGGTCAAGAAAGAACCCAGCCAAAACCAAGCGTTTGTAATTGTAATTGCCCCAGTACTACCAAGGCAAGAAGCACCAAGCACTTGCGAAGGCAATATCCACCACATGTAGAGTGTATACGGAATTGTTTGTAGGTGGTGGCTGTTGGAGATAAATCAACCTAGCTTGAACTCCCCACCCATTTTTTTGCATGGAGCCTTCTTTTGTCAAAAAAACTCCCCAGAGGCGAGGAACATTGATATCTGCACTAGAACGTGGTGTGAAAAGAACGGTTCAAACGTGGCAATCCTAGAGCAATAAAAGGTAAGAATACCGCAACTCACAACTCGTTTCTGAACGCCTGAAATGTGGCCATTGGCCCTGCTTGTTGTTCAGGCGCATCCAACCTGTATACTAGCAAGCTTCCCAAAGATAACCATTCGTTTAGCATTGCCCATCCTGCAGGGAAGTTTGCTGCCCACTCAGATGCCAAGTTCGTTTTGCCTGCCCTCTGATTTCAACGGAGTGCTTGGCATTGGAAAGTTTTGTAGCACAGGCAGCAAGAGCGGCACGCGGATTTCCGCGCCATCGATGTGCTGTGGAGCCCAGCTTTTTGGCCCCAGCCAAAACGCGGGTGCTTTGCGCGTTGGCCGGAGCAAGCGTTTTATCAGCTGCTTCCAATGCGCAAAAAACGCCAGCGATCGCAGAGGTTGGAGTCTGGTTGGCTGGCAGAACCTAGCCAGCATTTGGGATGCCTTCATGGAGCGTAAACTGTTGCCAGCTTATTTTGACGAACAGACTCATGGGCATGTGCCAAAACCAGGGACCTCGCCAGCTGGTTTATCTTGGCGTCTTGAGTGGTCAAAGGGTCCAACCTTTTTGAGATTACCCCTCCAACAAGCATGTACGAGACTTGCACAGGGTTTTCGAAAGCCGCTACTTCCATGATTGGCAGGAGGGTGCTACCAATCTGCCAATTTACCGAGAGTAGGGGCCCTATTGTACCCCCTGGCAACTTTTGGTGCAGGCCGTCTCAAAAAGGGTACTTAGATGGTCTCGGAGTTAACAGAGCACGAACCCTCAGTTGACCCCCCTGCAAGCCCTTGTAACAACGTAGAGACACCATATAGCTAACCCCAGACCATCAGCCTCTCATCAAGCATGGCTCCCTTAAGAGGAACGCAGTCAGGGAGTTGGTGCACTTCCGTTTTTGCAGGGTAAGCGTACAGTCGATGCTCCGGGTATGGCATCGGGCGGCAGGTGTGCCTTGGCCTGGAGGCCCTGGGGGTGGGCAGGGCGCTTAGCTGAACCGTTTGTCCGTTGTAGTGATCAGCTCGGCGAACAAATCGAGGGGCCCTTTGAAAAGGAACTTGATCCAAAGGGGGCCTATTCAGATTCGCGGTGTTTTGGCGACCATTCTTGAGAAATTCAAGTATCCCTTCATCGGTTTGCTTTTGGGATTTGAACCCCTAGTTCTTGTAGAGGGTATATGGGAAACTGCTCCTAACTATACCACCAATCCAAAACCACTAGTTGGAAGGAAGCAAATTCGTCTTGCACAAGTGGCCGGAGCTTCACGTCGTTCCTGTGACACTGATCAACCTGGGTGGGCAGACGAATTGGGCATTTTCCTTGGTATCAAAAAGCAGGAGCCTCCAAATGGTTTCTCATATGCTTATAGGACTCTTGTCGTTTGTGGCCTCCAGAAGTCATGGCACTGGGGGCATATGGGCTCTGAAGCTGGAGCATCATTGTTCCCCTTGTCAACGCCCCTTGGCCCTCCAGTGGACTGTGGTCTTAGATATTTGCGTTTTGGAAGGCCCTCAAGCACCTTCTCCAAGCCGCAAGAGTGCGCTGACTTTCGCGAGGAAATCTCCCGTTCCTTGCCTCAAGCTTTGCAACGAGCACACATTTTGCCAGGCCGGCCGGCAAGTGCCAAGGGAGGTTTCGTTTGGCACGAAAAGAGCCCAGGATGAATAGACCTTTAGTGATTGGTTGGGGACCTCTCATTTTGGAGGGGATCCTTCACTTTTTGGGTAAACACTTCGAGAAGAAATAGCCAGTTTAGTTCATCCGAGCTCAAGATAGTTCATCGTCTACGATTCAGAAATAGGGTGGATGCCCCAACAACCTTTGCTGGCTGCACTCTGTACATGTCCTTCCCCGCTTGGACTCAACGATGGAAGAGGAGTTTTTAGCACCTGCAAGAGAAAACGGGATATGACGAATTCATAAACTCAAGTTTCCCTTTGGGGTGATGGTGGATGGAAACCACGCTACGAGCACTGGAGAATTGTACCAAAGGACAACCATTTTTTGGTGGGTCCCGCTCGGTTCTGCAGATTTGATGGGGGCCCTCTTTTTGGAGAGGGTCCAAATGGGGTGTCCATGATTGTGACATACCACTACCATGTAGCCAGTATGTAAAGGGCACAGTTAACCAATTGATTCTCCCTTGGAAGAAGTGGTTGAGGGACGTCCTCAAAATTACCCTCTACATGGTTTAAAGGGAACCTCCCAGAAGTAATTTTGACAACCCACATGTTTTTCAGGGGATCCAGGGGCAGTGGAAATCCTATAGGATTGAATGGCTGCACAGGTTGCGTCTTGATTTGTCCAAAGCCAAGCTTTCAAACTTTTGCTTGTCTTCTTTTAGTGCTTGTCTTCTTTTAGTGGTGGCTGGTGGACATTAGGTGGGGATTCATGTCCACCAACCACTGTTGAGGGAACATAGATTGCCCCAAATAAAGCGTTAAGCCTTTTCAAACAGGTGACAGGCCACAGGCCGCTGCCAAGCCGCTGGGGCAAAACTGGACGAGGGACGTGCCAGAGGCTACCTCTTTGGGATGGTTTGTTGGGGAAGCACAAGGTAAGCCACTTATTCTGGGCGTCCCTCAACGACAAAACAAACCCAATTTGGGCGTGTCTTTTTTTAGGGCCCCCCCCAAGAAAAAACAGGTGTGCTTGCGTGCGTGCGTGCGTGGGTGGGTGGGTGGGTGGGTGGGTGGGTGTTTTACTTTTTCGCTTTAAAAGCGCAACAATGGGTACTCATTCAGCAAAGCCAGGGCTTCGACTATGTCTTCCGCGAGAATTTGGGCACTGCAGACTGCATGCTGCGAGATGGCCGTGCCTCGAAGGAGGCGCGGAGGTGCCGAAGAAAAGAAGGGAAGGAAAAGATAAGCAAAGTGGGGGGGGACAGGTTCCAAACATATTTTTCCTTTCATGGTCTTCTTTCAGATTTGGCGGTTTCCTGAGTTTTGTTTTCTTCTTCCTTTTCGGTTCCTTCTGATTTCGCTTTGGGGTTTCTTTCCTCCTCTTGGTTTGGTTCCTCCTTGAGGCCCCATGCCACAAATCCTCAGGCCTGCCACTTGGGCATCGAGCCCTGGGCGCAGCTGGAGGTTACCGAAGTGACCCAGGCGACAAGAAGTTGCCGGTGGTTCGGCGGCGAATTCGCCGCAGATGTTGTTTTCCTCTTGGTTTTCAGGCAGAAGTGCACCAAAAAATTGGGCTTCCCCCCAAAAAGGCACGCGTCCATGTCCTTTTTCCGATTTTTTGCTGGAGGGGGGTTCCTTGTGAAAACAACTACAAAAGGATTGTTGGAGAATGTAGTCCAATGGTTTCAAACAGATTGGGAACATAGGAACAAAGAGCATTTGCTGCCACGGTTGCAATTGTGTGAGCAAGTAGAACATTGTTGAGTGGATTCTACCCATCCAATGCGTTTGAGTTTGGACTCACTTCCCTCGCAAGCAGGTCTCATGTTGGGCCAGGTTTTCAGTGACATCCTTGCAAACCCCTTTTTGTTTGGTGCGTTCCAACCAAAATAACGGTCCTGGGCCAGGAAATGGTTCTCTTTCTCTGCCCGGCTCCCTGAGCAATTGGTTAGCCCATTTTGGGGGCCTCGATGTCAGGGGCACTAGGGTCACCATTTTGGAAACCTCGCATGTGCCTGTCATGTTTCGGTGAACCCTGTCTTGGTTGGAGTTGAGGACACCAATCTGTTTGGGTTTCCCTGATCTTGAGATAAACGCGAATTTACCACTTCAAGTAGCGATTATTGCGAACTTCGCGCCACCTCTAGGGTCCCTTTTCTCATTCGCTTCCAACATTTGGGGGGGGGGGAAGGAACACGTGTCTTGAGTTCTGACCTCTGGGCCATCCCTCGCCAGTTCGGAGCTGCGAACCGCTACGAGCTCATCGAGCGCAACGTGGAAAGGCGGGACGCGCTGTCGGGTGCGGTTTGAACTCAGCTATCCATCCGTGCTTGGCGGTTTGGAGATGCGTGGCCATCCCATGTGAGTCCTCTGTCGAGGTTGTCAGAAGTGTATATTATATCCACACACCAGGCGCTTAGAGCCCAACTTTGATGACAAATCAAGAACACAGCTGCAGTGTTTTCTTTTTCTGTTGTGCTTCTATCTGGCATGGCAGGCCGCAAAAGCTCGGGTCCAGGTTGGAGTGCTTTCAAGCGGACACTGTCTCGCAGCTTCATAGAGAGCAAGCCTGCTCTCAAAGTGCATTACCAGCTTTTATTTTAACGCCTCCGGCTCAGGCCGCCGACATTACAGGCCTGCTTTCTTATTTGCGTCCCTTTGGAATTGTCCCCTTGCCCCCTTCCCCTCTGAGATTTTTGCCCCCCTTTCTTTGTTGAGATCCATTCCCCCTTTCCGCCCTAAGGCCTTTTCTCCCTCTGATTTTTTCCCTTTTCCTCCCTAAGATGTTTTCCCCCCTCTCCCTGTTGAGATCCTTTCCCCCCTTTCCCCCCTAAGGCCTTTTCCCCCCTGAGATCTTCTCCCTTTTCCTCCCTTTCCCCCACTTTCCCCCCTACGGCCTTTTCCTCCCTGGGATCTTTTTCCTTTCCTCCCTGAGATCTTTCCGCCCCTTTCCCTGTTGAGATCCTTTCCCCCCTTTCCCCCCTACGGATCCTTCCCACCCTTTCCCCCCTCAGGCCTTTCCCCCCCTGAGAGCTTCTCCCTTTTCCTTCCTTAGATCTTTCCCCCGTTTCCCTGTTGGCCTTTTTTCCCCCAGATCTTCTCCCTTTCCTCCCTAAGATCTTTTCCACCCCTTTCCCTGTTGAGATCATTTCTCCCCTTTCCCCCCTACGGCCTTTGCCCCCAGATCTTCTCCCTTTCCTCCCTAAGATCTTTCCCCCCCTTTCCCTGCTCAGATCCTTTCCCCCCTTTCCCCCCTAAGGCCTTTCCCCCCCTGAGATCTTCTCCCTTTTCCTCCCTAAGATCTTTTGCCACCTTTCCCTGTTGAGATCCATTCCCCCTTTCCCCCCTAAGGCCCTTTCTCCCTCTGAGTTTTTCCCTTTTCCTCCCTACGATGTTTTCCCCCCTCTCCCTGTTGAGATCCTTTCCCTCCTTTCCCCCCTAAGGCCTTTTTTCCCCCCGCGATCTTCCCCCTTTTCCTTCCTAAGATCTTTTCCCCCCTTTCCTTGTTGAGATCCTTTCCCGCCCTTTCCCCCCTAAGGCGTTTTCCCCCCCAAGATCTTCTCCCTTTTCCTCCCTAAGATCCTTTGCCCCCTTTCCCTGTTGAGGTCCTTTCCCCTCTTTCCCCCCTAAGGCCTTTCCCCCCCTGAGATCTTCTCCCTTGTCCTCCCCAAGATCTTTTCCCTTGGTTGAGATCCTTTCCCCCTTTCCCCCCAAGATCTTCTCCCTTTTCCTCCCTAGGATCCTCTCCCACCTTTCCCTGTTGAGCTCCTTTCCCCCTTTTCCCCCTAAGGCCTTTTCAGATCTTCTCCCTTTTCCTCCCGAAGATCCTTTGCCCCCTTTCCCTGTTGAGATCCTTTCCCCCTTTCCCCCCTAAGGCCTTTTCCCTGCCTGGGATCTTCTCCCTTTCCTCACTGAGATCTTTCCCCCCCTTTCCCTGTTGAGATCCTTTCCCTCCTTTCCTTCCTAAGGCCTTTCCCCCCGCTGAGATCTTCTCCCTATTCCTCCTTAAGATCCTTTGCCTCCTTTCCCCGTTGAGATCCTTTCCCCCCTTCCCTTTAAGGCCTTTCCAGATCTTTTCCCTTTTCCTTCCTAAGATTGTTTCCCCCCTTTCCCTGTTGAGATCCTTCCCACCCTTTCCCGCCAAAGGCCTTTCCCCCCTGAGAGCTTCTCCCTTTTCCTTCCTTAGATCTTTCCCCCCTTTCCCTGTTGGCCTTTTTTCCCCAGATCTTCTCCCTTTCCTCCCTAAGATCTTTTCCACCCCTTTCCTGTTGAGATCATTTCTCCCCTTTCCCCTCTAAGGCCTTTGTCCCCAGATCTTCTCCCTTTCCTCCCTAAGATCTTTCCCCCCCCCCTTTCCCTGCTGAGATCCTTTTCCCCCTTTCCCCCCTAAGGCCTTTCCCCCCCCTGAGAGCTTCTCCCTTTTCCTTCCGAAGATCTTTTCCCCCCTTTCCCTGTTAGGCTTTCCCCCCTAAGTCCTTTTCTCCCAGATCGTCTCCCTTTCCTCCCTAAGATCTTCCCCCCCCTTTCCTCCTTAAGATCTTTCCCACCCTTTCCCTGTTGAGATCCTTTCCCCCCTTTCCCTCCCAAGGCCTTTCCCCCCCCTGAGAGCTTCTCCCTTTTCCTTCCTAAGATCTTTTCCCCCCTTTCCCTGTTGGGCTTTCCCCCCTAAGTCCTTTTCTCCCAGATCTTCTCCCTTTCCTCCCTAAGATCTTCCCCCCCCCCTTTCCTTCCTAAGATTGTTTCCCCCCTTTCCCTGTTGAGATCCTTCCCACCCTTTCCCCCTGAGGCCTTTCCCCCCCTGAGAGCTTCTCCTTCCTTAGATCTTTCCCCCCTGTCCCTGTTGGCCTTTTTTCCCCCAGATCTTCTCCCTTTCCTCCCTAAGATCTTTTCCACCCCTTTCCCTGTTGAGATCCTTTCCCCCCTTTCCCCCCTAAGGCCTTTGCCCCCCTGAGATCTTCTCCCTTTTCCTCCCTAAGACCTTTTGCAATTTTTCCCTGTTGAGATCCATTCCCCCTTTCCCCCCTAAGGCCCTTTCTCCCTCTGAGTTTTTCCCTTTTCCTCCCTACGATGTTTCCCCCCTCTCCCTGTTGAGATCCTTTCCCTCCTTTCCCCCCGAAGGCCTTTTTTCCCCCCGCGATCTTCCCCCTTTTCCTTCCTAAGATCTTTTCCCCCCTTTCCTTGTTGAGATCCTTTCCCGCCCTTTCCCCGCTAAGGCATTTTCCCCCCCAAGATCTTCTCCCTTTTCCTCCCTAAGATTGTTTCCCCCCTTTCCCTGTTGAGATCCTTCCCACCCTTTCCCGCCAAAGGCCTTTCCCCCCCTGAGAGCTTCTCCCTTTTCCTTCCTTAGATCTTTCCCCCGTTTCCCTGTTGGCCTTTTTTCCCCCAGATCTTGTCCCTTTCCTCCCTAAGATCTTTTCCACCCCTTTCCCTGTTGAGATCATTTCTCCCCTTTCCCCCCTACGGCCTTTGCCCCCAGATCTTCTCCCTTTCCTCCCTAAGATCTTTCCCCCCCTTTCCCTGCTCAGATCCTTTCCCCCCTTTCCCCCCTAAGGCCTTTCCCCCCCTGAGATCTTCTCCCTTTTCCTCCCTAAGATCTTTTGCCACCTTTCCCTGTTGAGATCCATTCCCCCTTTCCCCCCTAAGGCCCTTTCTCCCTCTGAGTTTTTCCCTTTTCCTCCCTACGATGTTTTCCCCCCTCTCCCTGTTGAGATCCTTTCCCTCCTTTCCCCCCTAAGGCCTTTTTTCCCCCCGCGATCTTCCCCCTTTTCCTTCCTAAGATCTTTTCCCCCCTTTCCTTGTTGAGATCCTTTCCCGCCCTTTCCCCCCTAAGGCGTTTTCCCCCCCAAGATCTTCTCCCTTTTCCTCCCTAAGATCCTTTGCCCCCTTTCCCTGTTGAGGTCCTTTCCCCTCTTTCCCCCCTAAGGCCTTTCCCCCCCTGAGATCTTCTCCCTTGTCCTCCCCAAGATCTTTTCCCTTGGTTGAGATCCTTTCCCCCTTTCCCCCCAAGATCTTCTCCCTTTTCCTCCCTAGGATCCTCTCCCACCTTTCCCTGTTGAGCTCCTTTCCCCCTTTTCCCCCTAAGGCCTTTTCAGATCTTCTCCCTTTTCCTCCCGAAGATCCTTTGCCCCCTTTCCCTGTTGAGATCCTTTCCCCCTTTCCCCCCTAAGGCCTTTTCCCTGCCTGGGATCTTCTCCCTTTCCTCACTGAGATCTTTCCCCCCCTTTCCCTGTTGAGATCCTTTCCCTCCTTTCCTTCCTAAGGCCTTTCCCCCCGCTGAGATCTTCTCCCTATTCCTCCTTAAGATCCTTTGCCTCCTTTCCCGTTGAGATCCTTTCCCCCCTTCCCTTTAAGGCCTTTCCAGATCTTTTCCCTTTTCCTTCCTAAGATTGTTTCCCCCCTTTCCCTGTTGAGATCCTTCCCACCCTTTCCCGCCTAAGGCCTTTCCCCCCTGAGAGCTTCTCCCTTTTCCTTCCTTAGATCTTTCCCCCCTTTCCCTGTTGGCCTTTTTTCCCCCAGATCTTCTCCCTTTCCTCCCTAAGATCTTTTCCACCCCTTTCCCTGTTGAGATCATTTCTCCCCTTTCCCCCCTAAGGCCTTTGTCCCCAGATCTTCTCCCTTTCCTCCCTAAGATCTTTCCCCCCCCCCCTTTCCCTGCTGAGATCCTTTTCCCCCTTTCCCCCCTAAGGCCTTTCCCCCCCCTGAGAGCTTCTCCCTTTTCCTTCCTAAGATCTTTTCCCCCCTTTCCCTGTTGGGCTTTCCCCCCTAAGTCCTTTTCTCCCAGATCTTCTCCCTTTCCTCCCTAAGATCTTCCCCCCCCTTTCCTCCTAAGATCTTTCCCACCCTTTCCCTGTTGAGATCCTTTCCCCCCTTTCCCTCCCAAGGCCTTTCCCCCCCTGAGAGCTTCTCCCTTTTCCTTCCTAAGATCTTTTCCCCCCTTTCCCTGTTGGCCTTTTTTCCCCAGATCTTCTCCCTTTCCTCCCTAAGATCTTTTCCACTCCTTTCCTGTTGAGATCATTTCTCCCCTTTCCCTCCTAAGGCCTTTTTGCCCCAGATCTTCTGCCTTTCTTCCCTAAGATCTTTCCCCCCCCTCCCAATTCCCTGTTGAGATCATTTATTTCCCCCCTTTTCCTTCTAAGGCCTTTTCCCACCCTCAGTTCTTCTCCCTTTTCCTCCCAAAGATCTTTCCCCCCCTTTCCTCCCTAAGTCCTTTTCCCTGAGTTCGTCTCCCTTTGCCTCCCTAAGATCTTTTCCCCCCTTTCCCGCTTAAGATCCTTTCCCCCGTTTCCCCCCTAAGGCCTTTTCCCCCCAAGATCTCCACCCTTCTCTTCCCAAAGTCTTTTTCCCCCTTTCCCGTTTGAGATCCTGTCCCCCCATTGCCCCTTAGGGCCTGTTCCCCCCGAGAAAGATTTCCCTTTTCCTCCCAAAGATCTTTCCCTTCAGGCATTTTTTTCCCCAGATCTTCTCCCTTTCCTCCCTGAGATCTTTCCCCCCTTTCGCTGTTGAGATCCTTTCCCCCTTTCCCCCCTTCATTTCCTTCACCAGCATGGGCAACATCCCCAGCATCACTTGCATCATCCGCATCCTTGGCAGGCGCTGATGCGGATGATGCAGGTGATGCTGGCGATGTGCCACTGGAGCTGCTAAGGATGCGAAAGCGCACCCGGGGGGAATCGAACACCCCAATGTTTTTGACAAACTGAGTTGCGCAAGGCACAATGAACAGATTTAGTGAAGCGTCTTCGAATCACCGCGTGGTACGTGGACCCGCCCCCGCCCCGCTTGTGCGGTGGCGCCTGCCTGCTTTCGCGAGTTCGTGCGTTGGCGCGTGCGGGGGCGCGTCGCGCGGGGGGCGCGCGTGCGGGGGCGCGTCTGACAGCTTTCTTTTCCGTTCTCTGTGTTTCCTGCAATCTAAATCTGTTTTGGTGCTGAAATTTAAGTTCGGGCAGAAGTCGCGTTTTTTACCTTAGCGTTGACTTCGGGAGGCCTAGGCCCGAGCCGTTGGTGCGGCAGCCAACCGTCACAAAAAAGAGAAGAGAAGAGAAGAGAAGAGAAGAGAAGAGAAGAGAAGAGAAGAGAAAAAGACAAGAGAAGAAAAGAGAAGAGAAGAGGAGAGAAGAGAAGACAAGAAAAGAAAAAAAGACAAAGAAAATAGAGGAGAAGAGAAGAGAAGAGACGAGACAAGAAGAGAAGAGAAAAAAAAAGAAGAGAAGAGAAGAGAAGAGAAGACAAGAAAAAAAAGAAACAAGAGGTTCTCCAAGTTTCACCAGGTCCTCCACGTTTGTTTTTCCAATTTTCTCCTCTCCTTTCCTATCCTCTCTTCTTCTTCTCTCTTCTCATCTCTTCTCTTCTCTTCTCTTCTCCTCTCGTCTTGGGAGCAAGGTCTGTGGTTGGGAAAGAAATTCCTACTGGGCTGTTGGGCTGCGGTCGCTTTTTGCTGCTGGGGCTGTTGTTGGTAGGGTTCAGGGTGAGCTGTTGGGTTGTTGGGCAGTTGGGCTGCTGGGCTGTTGGTTGGGTTCTTGGTTTTGCTTGGCTGTGCTGTTGCACTGCTGGGCTGTTGCTCTTGGGCGTTGTTCTTGCTGGGCTGTTGGGCTCTGTCAGGGTTGTTCAACTTCTGGGTTCCACTTCTGCTGGGATTGTGTGGGCTGGGTTGTTCTTGGGTTGTTTAGCTACTGGGTTGTCGGGCTACTGGGCTGTTGAGCTGTTGTTGCTGTTTAGCTGTTGGGCTGTTGGGTTGTTGGGCTGTTGGGTTGTCGGCCTGCTCTTGCTTTTGCATGTTGGGCTGTTGGGCTGTTAGGCTGTTGGGGCTGTCAGGGTTGTTTAATTGTTGGGTTCCATTTCTGTTGTCGCTGTTGGGCTATTGTTGGCTACTGGGGTTGTTGAGCTGTTGTTGCTTTTAGCTGCTGGGCTGTTGGGTTGGTCTCTTGATTTTGCTGCGGCTGCTGTTGGGCTGCTGGGCTGTTGGTGTTGGGAAGGTTTAGGGTTTGGGGTTTGTGCTGCTGTTGGGCTGCTGGGCTGTTGGCTGGGCTCTTGGTTTCGCTTGGCTGTGCTGTTGCACTGCTGGGCTGTTGGTTGGGCTCCTACGTGGTACGTGCCCCTGGGGAGGGGTTAGGGAAGGGGTAACAGGTAAAGAGGTAAGGAGCATTTTTTGTGTCCAACACGCCGTCTGTTGTCGGCGGATTCCTGGCCAAGCTGCCGCGACTGCCTGGCTGCCAAGTTCAACACATCTGCAATTAGCAACCGTCCGCCTGTTTGAACTGCCTGGCCGCACAGTATCTCTCATGACGTGGTTCACAAGCATCATGGTAGACGGAGACGACTTCAAGTTCATTCCATTTTAGTTTGCTGCCTCTTTCACAGGAGCTTCATCTTTCCGCTATCACTCCCAACGTTGCAAGAGACTGGAGGCATGAGGATCCTGACCGGCCTTTACTGAAGTCCTGCAAGTATGGATTGTATAGGTCTCCGGCTTTGCGCTGCTTGTCAAATGGTTTCAGGTAGACAAGGACATGATTGGCTTCGAGCCCAGAACCTTCATTCCAAGCAATCCAAGTCTTTGTCAAGGTGTCCCAAATAGGCGTATCTTCTTTGGAGGGTACCCCTTTATTGAAATTTGTAAAGAAAAACCGGAAAACACAAAAACACAAAGAATAACCACCATGTTGAGAGTCTCCCAAAAGAAAACTCACCCAACAATTAGTCACCTGGCAACTCACGAGGCGGCCAAGGCTTCGGCTTCGGAAAATGCGTCGCCAGGCATATGAACTGCAGTCAGTGGCGCGAGGACTGTCAGATGCGGCCACCAGACAACCCACCAAGGCAACCAGCAAACACCGCGTAAAGCAAGCTAAAACCCGCAAGATTCAACTTGTCATGCCTTTTGTTCGGGGCAGTGGTGCAGTTCTTTCACTTTCTTCCCTTTAGCATCAATACTTGCAGTAACCACCGTGTATGGTGGCGTGTCTATCGGGAGCTGGCGTCCGTGCATCGGGACGACACTAGCTTCTTTTTATGGAACAGAACGTGGGAATGAGAGTGCAGACAAAATGCCCAGTTTGGGGAGACCAACCATTCTGTGATGGAATGACTGGAAATGCAAGGCCAAGTCATTTGCTTCGGGCTCCCAACGGGGCCTCCAGTTTTGATCTGCCAGACTGCCGCCTCTGTGAGGAGATCAATGAGAAGCTGCACAAAGTGGGCGGCGCGAAACGTCTCGAAGACCTTTCATGAGGAAAACATTGCCTTGCGCTCTTTGGTACCACCTTGGAAGTTTTTACCAGAAGATTGCAAAGTTACACCACAGACATCCGGCTCCTTTCAATCATATATCAAACTTCGCTCGAGCTTTGCCTGTCAGACCCGGTGTACTCTCGCAGTTAATCCTTGGCCAGTTTGGATGCTGCAATGTGCAGACACCTGGAGTGCTCATGCATCTGCGCATATTTCCCACACTCTAATTCAGCCCTGGACACCTTGTGCCGATGTCGTTGTAAGTCTTTTGCGTTGTTTGAACGCCGCAGTGATGGGAAGTGGTCCCTTGGCTGCATGCCCAAGCTCAAAGCCTGCGACTCCTCGTTTTGGCTCCAGCCATCTCGTGAGATGTGAGGTTGGGAAGATATCCAGATCAATTTGGAGTGCATGGCGACCAAAATTTCAAAGGCAGCCATAACCAGGGCGCGAAGTCTAATTTCCCAACATGTTGATTCCAAGGACCAGAAGAAAGTAACTTGACATCTTGCCCCAGGCTGGCGGTTCCAACATACTCCCAACGAGTCAAAGGGCACTTCCCCGTTTCCGGCCCTTTAAAGTGCTCCAACTGATTCATGGCATCAAAAAGCCCCAACCTGCCCCCATGGAACAATCTTTCTGGGCATTTTAGTGGGTAGTTCTATTGCCTGGTTTCGTCTTCATAGTAAGGCCCATGCAAACCAAGATAACCTTGTTGGAATCGAAAGAGACTGGGTGGGCGCGGCTCACCGGAACCTAACCCACTTTTTATGGGGCTCCTGATTTGATTTGAGCTTGCATTGCTTCGAAACATGAAACTCACTTCCAAAGATTGCAGGAAACACTTACTACTTTGCTTGGGTCTCTTCTGTTCCATTTGCCTTTTTTTAAGCTGTCAACTTTTCCCGATACCTTTAGGTAGATATCAAAAATAGTACCCCCTACTCAATTCTTTCTATTGGGCGCCATTGCTCCACTGCCAGCATCCTGAACCGGCAAGCCTTCATGCTTTGTCTATGTACCCACCCTTCAAGCGAACAACTTGAACAAAGCTGGCAGTGACCATCAACTTGCGTTTGCAAAAACCATCAATCACATCGTAGTTGCGCGGATTGGCTCAAATACCAGCCCGATGGTTGTACAAGGCACCGGCGTTGTTAGGAACTGCATCTCAAGCTCGGGATGAAACAAGAGCAAAGGGGTAACACCCGGGTTTTGCCATAGTTTCATGGTTACTGCACTTTGATCCGACCTTTCAAAACAATGCTATTTACACCACTTTGCGAAGTCCCGCAGCTTTCGCCATTGGCATTCGCCCGCGCAGCTGCTCGTTTTCAACGGTCCGCAGTTTTCAGCGTTGCTTGTTCAGCTTTTGGCACGTCTCTGAAACCTTCGCCCAGAGCTGAGCAGGTGCAGTTGATTTGGCAGGCGTGTGCAGAGCCGAGCGTGCACTTGAGCGGGTGTGCTTGTGCTTCCCATTTGGCAGATGTGCGTGCAGTGCTGCCTGCGCTTCTGCGGGTGTGCTTTCCGCTTGGAAGGCGTGCGTGCAGTGCTGGGCGGGTGCACTTGAGCGGGCGTTCTTGCCGTTTGGCAGGCATGTGTGCAGCGCTGAGCGGGGGTGTGCTTACGCGTGCGCGCGCTGAGAGGGCGCGGTTGATCTGCTGCGCGGCGTGTGTGCAGCGCTGAGCGGGCTTGAGCGGGCGTGCTTGCCCTTTGGCAGGCGCGCGTTGGCTGGGCGCGCGTTGAGCGGGTGCGATTGCCAAAGTGTCACTTACAAAACAGAACTTGCTGCAACTCTTCTAGTTGAACGAGAAGTACTGAGAGACGCCTGCTGGTAGGGTGCCTGAGGTATCATTTTTCGTAGTCGTTTTAACTATTGTTGTTTTTGCGAACATGCCTATGGCGCTGACAAGAAGGCGTGCGCGCGGGTGCGCGCAACTGCCAATTTACGCTTGGTCTTGATCTTGATGATATGGCAAGAACCACCCCCTTGCGGGTTGACGCCAAAATGCAGCAAAGCCCTTGGGCTCCTACTGACGTCGCTAGCTTGCGCTTTGTGTGGAAGCACAGTTGCTATCGTTGGTTTCCACTTTTAAGGGCCCTTGACATCCACAGGCCCAATTCCTGGGCATAGGCGTATGGATGATGCGCGCCTCGACATTGAGGCGGGGGTCCCGCACATCCTACACGTGGAGACTTTGAGACGGGTTGAAACGAAACACCATCATCGTTTGGGCAAGCCAGCATGAACCCACCCACTTGAAAGGACAAGGGCCCTAGTTTTGCCAGTAGACAAGGGCCCTAGATTTGGCTACTGCCGTCATTAAGCACTCCAGCGTATTTTTTGGTGTTTTGTTGTATTCCTTGTGGTTTTGTTGGGGTGTAGCAATGTATCCACCACCTGCACGGGTCGCTCGTCGTCATTGCAGAGGGTTTCTCTTCAAAATGATGAATTCAACCTGTTGGCAAGCCCCAGACAGTCCAGTCAGTGCGGGCTGGGCGGGTCCCGGGGCTCCGGCTGAGGTGCTGCATCAGAAGTTCCTGCAGGCTGCAGACTGCCTGGTAGGGCTGGAGGAGCAGCAGGATGCGCTCTTGCAGGAGGCGGGGAGTGTAGTTTTTGTTCGTTGTGTAAACCAAACCCTGGCCCCTATTCAAAGACAAACCGCTATGCACTATTTTGTTGTGAACGGGAGAATTCTCCATCCGCTAGGCCGAAGAGGCGGAAAAGGAGGCGCGCGGAGGGAGCCTTCCCTAACGTCTTGAGGGCTGTTCCGATGTGTGCCTCAATTTACTCGGAAATATACATATATGTTTTGTTTGTATGTATGGGCCATATACTTTGGAACGGGGTGCAGCCTTAGGGGTGCATGACAACAGCCATGGACGTTCAGTTGTGAAGGTTGGTGTGGGCAGTCTAAAACTGACATTTGAGAGGAGTTCATGTTGGTAAAAGGTGGACCTCTCCCAATGGTGGGTTTGCAGCGTTCTTGGAAAAGCAATCCACTGAATTGAGCTGCAGACTGTTCAAGACGCGCCCCAAGCAAAGGGGGCATGTATTTTTGATTTTCTCCACTCCCCTATTTTTTGCCAGATCCTCTTTCGTCCATTTCACGCCCCTTTCGCATGAGCTAGGCCCTGCACTGGAAGCACATCGCCAAAGTCCTGGCGCGCCAGCGAGGTCTCCTGGGGCACTGGGGAGGTGTTTTTTCCTCTGAGTTCCTGGACTTGTCGCCATTTTCGTGGCAACCAACAGTTTATGGACTTTTGTGGCGCTTACCTTTTCCAAGAGTTGGACAAAGGCGGACGCCAGGCAACTTCCAAAAGGGGTTTGAGCACTTCCATTGTCGGTGGGAGGGTAACTTATTGGATGTGTGCCAAATCAAGTTCCCCCCCCCCTTCCCCGGGAGAGAGGCGGCACGAGACGAATCACTCGGATTCCGACTCCCTCAATTTACCGTGGCAAATCGGAGGAACCCAGTCGATCCCAGTTATCAGTATAGAGCAGTAGAGTAGGCAACCCGCCAATTTCCCGATGTTTTTGTTGAAGGGGAGATGCCTTGGCTGCCTACACGGGTAAATGGAGTCACATGGAATCACCGGGGTACCAGAAATGTTTCGAATCTCTTGCCGCAGGGAACCTTTGCTTATCGTGCAGTACCTGCAGGCGTCACATCCGTTTGCAATGGGTTACCATCGGATCCTGTCTGTCGGCGTGTTCAGCTTGAATCTTGACAATGGTTGGGGAAAGCATGATTTCCAGTGCTTCCAGCTACCACTATAGTAGGCAACCGGAGGTTTCCCGATACCGAAGGGTTACCTACTACAGCTGCCTGCCTGGAAGCAGTGGGTTTAATAACCAGACCCTCAGACGGGCTGCAAAGCCTTCAGCTCGTCGAAGATGTGCCGAGCCTTCCAGTCAGTCCCTGTCTCACTGCTGCAGGTTTTAGCAGCCAGTTCTTGCCTCAGCTATTGGGTTCCCAGTGAAGGCCGCTTTTCGATTTCTCTCTCTCTCTCTCTCTTTCTCTCTCCCCGTCTCCAACTTTGCCCCAAGTTGGAAGCTCCTGGGCGACCCACACTTTACAAGGCCCTGTTGGCAGTTTGCGTATTAGATGGTGGGAAGGTAAAGATGACAGGTAGTTCGCCGAGATGATCTTTGCGCGAGCTTTGACCCGAAGCCGATTGTACCTTCTTGTGATTGGCAAAGCATCAACAACCGCCAGGCAAACTCCCGGCGGTATAAGTGGCCCGGCGCGGGCTTCTGAGCCATGCCTGACCCAAAAGGCTTTGCAGCACCTTGTGCTAAAATGATAAAGGTACTCCCAATGAGAGCTCTGATTTCGGAAGGCCCCTATAGCCGCTGAGGAAGGAAAGAACACACACACAGGATCAGATTTGCAATCATACTCATGATAGTCACGAGCAATAGACCTGTGCCTCAGATGCTCAACACTTCTGTGTCCAGAATAACGATCAGCTATTTAAAGTTGCAAGAGCAGCTCAATAGTCAGAGTTTGCAGGGTCTGAGTGTCTCACGATTCCTGTCCTTTTAGGGCATGCCCTGGTCGCGGTCAGTTTGGTTTTTTGAGAGGGGGGTCTGATTTCTGTGTTGCGCCGGCCGTGACAGCCGTGCGCCCATGGCCAAGGGTGCTCGACAGAGCCGCTGCGTCGCCTGTGCGTGCCTTTTCGGCGCAGGCGCGAAACGGAGCGAGCGGAAATTTGAGACATGTCATGCCAGATTCGCTGAGAGAGAACCCCTGCACCTTGATGCAAGCAAAAAAAAATGACTCATGCAGTTGCTTTGGTTCTGATAGGGAGACCATGTCTCAGGTTCAGAGGATGTGACTATGGTGGTTTGCAAGCCAGCCAGCAGCTAGCCTATTTTTGCCCAGCTAGCCTATTTCCGCTGTGATTGGCTCCAGCTGGTTTTCTCACCCGTCGTGGCTTGCGTGGCAGCCTGAGATTCGTTGAAAGAGCTTCCATTGCAACCACCGAATCGTTGATCCTTCCCCCCACCTGCCCCACACGCACACGCGCACACACCCGCAAACACCCACACACCCGACACCCGCACACACAAACATCCACAAACACATAAGTACACATTTACATGTACCCAAACGCACGCACGCACGCACGCCCTTCACGCCCGCCAGCCCGTTTGCCTGCCCGCCCGCCAGCCAGCCAGCCAGCCAGCCAGCCCGCCCACACGCAGGCACGCCCGCCCGCACGCACGCTTGCACGCACGGACGCACGCACGCACGTGCGTGCGCACGCACCCACGCACACAAGCACAAAAGGACACACACACACACACACCCACACACACCCCACACACACCCCACACAGACCCCACACACACCCCACACACACCCCACACACACCCCACACACACAGACACACACACACAGACACACACACACACACAGACACACACACACACAGACACACACACAGACACACACACACAGACACACACACACACAGACACACACACAGACACACACACACACACACTCAGACACACACACAAACAGACACACACACGCGCAGACACACAGAGACAGACAGAGACACACAGAGACACACAGAGACACACAGAGACACACAGAGACACACAGAGACACACAGAGACACACAGAGACACACACACACACACACACACGCACACACACACACACAC